TCTTCCCTCCTCCACCTTATTGTGGGGACCACGTTTTCTACTCTGTCCCTTGGAGTTGAAGCACAAGTGGAATTATGTGTCAGACCAGAGAGCCCTGGATCCTTTTCCCCCTTTCAGGTGGCATACTTCAGTGGGTTGCCAGACTGTCATCTGGGGAGCTCATGTGGTTCTGTCCTCTCCAGGGAAGGCAGCCAGTGGTAGGCAGYGGAGTTCACCCAAGGAGAATGCTCAGCACAAGTGTGCACCTCCGATGCCAGGGGCCCATGCAGCACTGACCTGCACGTGGAAAGCTTCCTTCTGGCATGTATTGATGCTTCACTCTTATTGATATGATTTAAGCAAATGCATAAGAAAATTTCTAACCATGAGGGGCTGGTTAGAAGGTGTAACTAACTGGACGTTGCAGCAAACACTTTTCCAGAAACAAACAGGTCTGACTAGAACAGGGAACCGGGAGGTGGATAACAAGCATCTTTTTCTTGGTGACTGAGGGTCTCTCGCCAGGCACTGAGCCTGTGACTCCTGGGGCCACTCAGTGTCTGCAGTGTCAGATCTGGCTCCTGTCTTCCTTTGAGTTTAACACAACTCAAGGTATGTTCTTAGAGGAGTGTAAAGATTGGTTCATTTCKTAGCATCTCTGCCTGAGGATGAATGGGGATAACAACATTCTCTTTCCAGAGAACTGGCTGTGAGATGTGAGCCGTGTGGTCGTCTCTTTTCTTTTCTTTTACACTCCTTATTTATCTTCAGGTTGACATTTGTGTGGGCTGATAATGTGGATACCTCATGAGCTGGTTGTGCTGGGCACCTTTGGGCCACAATATTATGTTTTCTGCTGTCCAGGAGTTTATGGCCCATGTTGAAAGGATGGGCTGAAGTCTAATGAGCACAAGAGCATCAGCTGGGGAGTCAGAGACCTGAGTTCTCATCTCAGCTTTGCCTCTTAACTTGATTGTGTGACCCCTGACAAGCCCCTCTTTTTCTTTGGTCCTCAGTTCCCTGCCTATAAAATGGGTAGATTGCCTTAGTTATTACCAGGCTGTCTGTTCAGATCTGTCATTCTTGATTATTCTGTTTGTAYACATCCATGTCCATCCATGTCCTTCCTGGATGCTGGTCATTATTTTGAGYTTTGTAGATGTCTTGTCTGCCTTTCTCAGACATTCTTCCCTGTGCATGATAGATATCATTTCCACCTGGCTTTGTATCGCATTCATTTATTCCTTAAATTTCGATGGTCCTGCTGCCGTTGTACCAGCTGTCTTTCAACCAGCATCTCCTCTGGGCCATCACTATGACTGTCCCTTCCCTGCAGCAATCTTAATTTGACCCCAGAGCACCTTCATCATTATGAATAAAACTGCCCAGGTRTAGTCCTCATGGAGATGGCTTCACCATGGCCAGAGACCAGAGGACAAGTCCCTTTAAGCAGTCTCATGCTAATGAATTGCAGTGTTCCTGATAAGCATTGCCCTCCTTTCAGCAGTCGACAGTTACAACTTGGCATCTTATTTCATAGTTCATAAAAGGATACCTTCTGGACAGATGCCTGTGTGACAATACAGGCTCTGTGGGAGGCTTCCAGCCTCCCTGAATAAAAGGGAACGATCTCTGTCCCCTGCCTGGGCCTGTCCTTTCACATCAGGGTGAAGGGGTCTCTTTGTGTTGAGCTGTGGCTGCTTTCCTTCCTAGTCAGTTACCTCATTGGGTGAAACACCCCCCGAATCAGTGTTGACAGCTGCAGAGGCTCCTGGATGGTGCTSTAGGAATGAGGAATTGTAAGTACGGTTAATGCACCTCCGAGTCCTGGGTCCTGAGGCTGCCTGGGACCTTTCAGGATTCGCTTCCAGCCAGTGTGCACAGGGAAGGGAAAGTGCTCGAATTATGGAGAGGTTCATTAACACATGACAGGAATCTGCCGAGATGAGGGAGCGGGGTCTCTTTAGGAAGCATCTAAAGTCTCTAGCTCTGCCCTCCTGGCACGTCCCCCTCCTCTGTGCAAGAGTGGTGAGCAGGTGCAGAGGGAGCAACAGCTAGGGACAGCAGCCATTCAGGGGCACAAAGAAGAGGTCACAATATGTGACCAGGGCCAACCCAGGGAAGGAGTCATTCAGGCTGCTGCTTGCAGAATAAATAGGACTCAGGTGGTTTTAAAGGCCCAAGGGTACACATGGTGTGTGGGAGACTTCCCATGAAGAACTTCATTAGGATTAAGTGGACGGAGTCTTCTCCTACCACCAGAGGTTTCTTTAGGTACAGCAACATTACCAAAAAGTCCTTGTGTACTTTCCTGAAAATCCACACTTGACCAGCTTGCTGCCCAGAATTATTCTTGTCTCTCAACATCCCTGGCCCTTTCTGGTAGCCCTGGACCCCTGTGTGGGGTAGCAGAGCCAAAGTGTGCCTCCCTAGCACCTCTCTGAAGGGGAACTGGGATGCACTGGAAGGAGTGTGCTGACTTTCAAGTCAAGCAGACTGAAGCTGCGTCCCCACTCCAACATGGATTTTTTGTGAGATCTTGGGCCAATGTTTTTTCATCTCAGAAAAGGAATAACTCTGCTTAATATATTGGGCAATTATAGGAAATAAGCTGTTTTGCTGGGGCGATGCTGGCCCCCGAGAAACTCCTTGAGAAAAGGATTCTTCTGGGTGGCCATCTTGGCTGTTGCTGGAAGCACTCCCTGGGCCAGGAGGCTGAGGTTCCCCAGCTCTCATAACCCTGTCAACACCGCAGAACTGCCACTGTGATCCTCAAAGCTGCCCCATCTCCTGGCCCAAGGCCCTGATTCCTCACCCTTCTTATCTGCAGAACTGGGACCATGGGATTTCTCTGCRGGGAGGGTGTACTCTCCTGTCCCTGTCTTGTTAGGACTTTCTGTGGCCCGGCTTTTCCATGTGTAAGATCTGCCTGAAACCTGGGCGTGGGAGCCTGGCACATGGGATGGACCCAAAGAAAGAAGATAAATGACCGGAGATGTGTGTGCCACGGGGTGTCCCCAGCCCCAGATGGCTGGCCCTTGATGGTCCACCAGTCTACCATGACTTCTTGGTGACTGCAGCTTTCACTCCTGGGCATTCTTTCCCATCCTTTCCTCATGTCACCACTGGGGTCCTTCCCTCTCTGTGCAGGGCCTCYTCAGAGGGCAGCAGGCGCCCCGAGGCTCTGGCCAAGGCTTGTCTCTCCTCCTCCCCCTGTTCAGGGCGGCGTCTCCGAGGCCAGCAGTCACTGCACAGGCTTCCAGACCTCCAGACTCCCAGGCTCTCCYCTGACTCCTTGGTTGTCGCTCTTGTTGTTGTTTTTAGGTCCAGGAAGGAAAACAGCCCTTTCACTCCTCTCCTGTGGGGGCTACAGTGTGCAGGCAGCAGAATCCACATCTGTCTGCCTGGCGGGCTCCGGCTCCCCTCCCCTGCCCTCTTGTGCGAGGGCCAGAGCAGCCCAGCAGCCTCTTGCTTTCCTCTGGCCTGAGCAACTGGATTCTCATCTGCTACAATGTTTTTCTTTTTTCTTTTCTAAGAGTCACGTAGAATGTCAACTAAGGTTTTGATTCTGCGTCACAGAGGAAAATAGAACAAGGAACAAATGAATCAGTTTTTCTTGAATTATAAGCTGTGGTGTGTGTGTGTGTGTGTGTGTGTGTGTGTGTGTGTGTGTGAACTAATTTAGAGATTGGCTATTGAATTCCAAAAACACATGTGAATGTTTGCTGAATACCAAACCCTGAACAATGGATGGAGGCCAGGATGCCAAAGATGTGGTTCCAATCCTCAGAGGGTAGCCTGTCCTCAGAGAGTCGTAATGCTATGACTGRCCAGGCAAGAAAAGGTGGTAGGGAAACCCTGATGTTCTAGAGTGGGTGTGGGTGTCACTTAACCTCTTCTTTCCCATGCTTAGGACCCAGCCTAAGTCCTCCTCCAGGAAGTCTTCCTTGATTGTTTCAAGCCTTAGTGAGTCTCCTGCTGTCCAGACTCTGGATTCCTAGAGCCTGTAAGATTTCTCACACCCAACCTCATCCTCCAGCCTCCCTGTCTCAATGAGATGAGTACTGCCCTCCCGATTTTAATAGATGAAGCAACTGAGGTTCAGAGAGTAAAACTGCTTTCCAAGGGTCACAGGTTTAATGAGCAGCAAAAGTGGAACTTGAGCTCATGTGTTCTGACCCAGGGCCAGTCCTTTTCCTTGGTACAAGTACTTGTTCTCCTGTATCGTTCAGCATCAGGCACCCCTCTAAGGAATCTGCATGGCCCTTCTAGTCCATGCTTCAGCTTTAGCTCCTCTCTGCTTGCAGGCACCTGCCCGTCTGTCCTGGAGGCCAGGGCCCCTGACCGCCTAGTGTCTGGCCCCCTCCTGGCACCAATGCCACAAACTCCTTCAGGCTTGGCTGGTGAAGGACAAGAGAGTGAACTGGCCATGCCTCTGTGCTTCTACCTGGGATCAGCTCTGCTGCCCTCCTCTTCTCACCCTCAAAATATCTGGAGACTGTGGAAGTTAACAGCTCTTACATGTCAGATAATTGCAAGACTGAATAATTTTGGCTCCTTTTGTTTTGTAGACAGTGGATCGAAAGCATGCCTGTGTCCAGCTCTTTCTCTCTGGCTTAGCATCTTAACACAGATCTGGGTTTGCAGAATGAACTAGTGAGGGGCCTAAGCTGATGATGTCTTTTCTTTCTCTCTTTTGTGGAGTGTTAACACCCCATGCTCCAAAGAGAAAGCACTGAACACTTTTGAGTTTTATGTGTGGTGTCCACATAGTGTATCATCCAGATCAGAGACTTGAGAGTGAAATGAACAATTTAATATTGGACAGCATACGAGACAAGCTCTACCACTGAGCTAAACCTAAGCTCTCTCTTTTTTATTTTGAGATAAGATCTCACTAAATTGCTGAGGCTGGCCTCAAACTTGTGACCCTCCTGTCTCAGCCTCCTGAGTTTCTGGACTTACAGGTGTGCACCACCACACCTGGCCTTATTTTCTTTCTTTTCTTCTTCTTCCTCCAGAGATACAGCGGATCATTCAACTGGACCTTGATCTAAAGTACAAGACCAACATCCGGGAGTTGTTTGAAGAGTTTGACAATTTCCTGCCAGGTGCCATCATTGGCATAGCCAGAGAGATGCAGCCAGTGTACAGGTAGGTAGTGCTGAGACCCCTCCCCACCCTGTCCTCTCTTCTTCCACCCATAGAGATGGGGTTTTTGGTGTGCACTCTTCCCACACTTGTGGCCTTGGGAACACATTCCTACTTCCTGAGGATAGCCTGGGCAGGCAGTTTGGCCCCTAAGCTGAGATGCTGCCCCGATACTTTGGGTGGCATTGTGACATTTTTCATCTGGAAAGCCCAGTTGTTTCAATTGTTGGTTCTGGTTAAGCTCAGAAGTTTAAGATCTTGAACTTTGCTGGCAGAGGAGGTGTCAGGTTTTAACCTACATTCTGGTGACCAACTGGGCTTTCTTTGCCTTGGAATCGCCATGACCCCTCTCCTACATGACGGGGGTGTTGGGGGGGGGGGAACTGATGGGTGGCATTATGAAGAGGGAAAGGCAATATCTCCTGGGAACACTGATTGCATGAGCTGGCCTAGGTGAAAGCGCCTTCTGCACGAGGCAGAGTTTGGTTGTCAAGTGCATGTCACAGAAAAACTCCACATCTGKGAGCCAGATGTGTTAAAGAATATTCTCTGTATAGTCCCAAACTAAAAACAGCTTATATATTTTAGACAACATAATGGCTAAATAAAATGTGTTCATCTAGTTGAATGCTAGATAGCAACAAAATGAGCCAGTGGTGGCTACGGGCGACGATAGCCAGAACTAAGTGGCAGGCTTTGGGGGTGCATAACACGAGTGCTCAAAATTATGAGGAAAACCAAGGAGAGATCCCCAAAGCCAGGGTGGTTGGGGGAGGATAAGAGGGATTGTGCTTTATTTGTCCACCAGGGTAGGTATGTACATGTGGCACCTACCCTTTTGTGTATTGTGTGTGCTCATATACTATAGTTACAGGTGGGAGGGAGGAAGAGCAGAAGCAGGCATTGTTGAAAACTAAGTCCCATGGCCTTGGTTCCATGTTGCTAACTCATCCTCCAACAGGTAGAGTGACACCTCACCCAGCGCCAGAGCTGCCCAAGTTTTCTCAGAAAGAGCTGGGATTCCTCTGTCCCCTGGCCTTGCAGGCCACTTGTTCTCTGGGTAGCCTCCAGTGACGGCTCCCTATGGACATCGTTCCTAGAGAGAGGCCCAGTCACTAGAGAGCTTCAGGCCCAGGCATCTAGTGACTCAAAGCTCCAGTGTCCCCGGAGGAGAGATAGGAGAAGGAGAGACAGTGGAATGAATCTGACATAATTTTCCCATGTACACAGTGAATCCCACCATCAGGTACATCCTTAAGAATGGGATCCTAACTAGAATAAGATATATTCCTTGCTTTTATAATTAATCAAAGTATATTCTGCTTTCATGTATACTAAAAAGAACCAATAACTAAATTAAAAAAAAAAAAAAGGGAGAGGAAGGAGAGACAGCCTTCACTTGGTGGTGGCTAGTTGCAAGTCTCAGATCACATAACAGGAAATTCCTGCAAGGCCTCTGAATGAGCTGATAATTCCTGGGGCCTTGTGGGCTGTTCTCCCTTACATAACCCTTTTCCAAGTGCTCCACAGTCACTGCGGGGAGGGGACTCTTATTCTGCAGTGGAGGGTCAAAGATGGGGTTTAGGCAAATTGCTGCCATCTTAATTTACCTTCAGGTAAGTAGTATCTTGTGTTGGGGTTCTAGATTCCATGTAGGGAGGAGATAGGGGCATTAGACATAAAGTCCTAGGTGCTAGTTGCAGCTCTGCCACTGCKTGAGGAGTCCGGGTTCCCCCTCCGAGCAGAGGAAAAGATGTGCTCCAGGACCTCCCTTGTCCAGCTCTGGCATTGGTGGTCTCAGTCCTTCTGACCCTCCTGTCTTCCCCTGTATCCAGAGGCTGCTTATCTGCAGATAAGCTCCCAGGGCTTGCTCAGTTCCTCCCGGTCCCCTGACATATTTAGACTGGGCTGACTGAAGTGCCATGGAGCAGGTAAGCCCGCGAGCTCCTGTTGGGAATCTTCTCGTGTAATCCAAGAGAGACCTAGAAACCTCATCACATTTAATTTAGATAATGTTGGCCAGAATTTCTATTTTAGATTTTAGAAACAGTGCAACTTAAATCAACTTAATTATTTGGCCTTCCCAAAAGAAATATCTGAAAGATTTTGGATTTAAAATGAAATTGAGCCAGTTACTATTGTGGCGATACCATGAGAACTGGGAGCCCTCCACCATGCAGCGTCCAAGCATGTTGTGTACAGGGCACAGGCTTGCAGAAGGAACAGAAATTCAAATTCCTTTATGTGACCCTTCCTTTGCCCCTCCAAATCGTTTCTAAAGTCCTCTACTAATTAAGGCTGGGAATGACTGTCACCTACTGCCTCTGTGGAATTATCTTTTAAAGTATGCATTGTTACTATTTGCTGAGGCTGGCAGCAGACAAGAGTATTTTTGCCTTTTTCCACAAGAAAACTGGAGTCTCCTGTGTCCTGGAAGGCTGGTATCAGTATTTGCAGCTTTGGGATTTTCACCTGGCAGGGGTGGGAGGGAGGATTAAAGGAGAAAGAGGGTGGGAAATGGGGAGAGTAAGCCATGCCCATGCAAGTACAGGTAGAGCAGGGCCCCTCTCTTGCACAGGCAGCCTCAGCCCCACCTCCTGATCTTGGTCGTCACTGCCTGTGGGACCCGTGCCCTGTCTTCTTTCCTGATGGGTTCCTGCAGAGGTGACCACTCACCCCACACCTATATTCTTTGCCCTCCAATGACCCAGGGGTCTCCCGAAGTGGCAAGTGTGGTGTGGACAAGTTATTTATTGTACGTGGGTTCTGCTAGCATCCATGAGGGGAAAGGGAAATTAAAAACAAAACAAACAGCACTGAAGCTCCACTTGACTGGCTCAGGCCACGGGCTCTGGTCTGGAAACCCACTGGGCAGGAGCAGACGTGGATCCTGCCAACTATGCCACTTTTATAGTCACTTGTCCCACAGCTACTGTACTTCAAAAGGACACATRTCCAGTCATTTTTATGACTTCTTCCTCTCTATTGTGTGCCACAAGTGTTCAAAGCTTAGAGGAAGGTGGGGAGAAGTATTTCCCACTGTCCTTTTGACAGATAGCTTTTTTACAAGTTTTTCCCCAATTGTACATCTAGCTGACTGTTTTCTGGACAATGGAGATTTTAGTTTGTTAGAATAGTGATGGAGGCCAGGCATGGTGGTGTATACCTGTAATCCCAGCAGCTCTGGAGGCTGAGGCAGGAGGATCACAGGTTCAAAGCCAGCCCCAGCAACTTAGCCAGACCTTGTCTCAAAATAAAAAATAAAAAGTTCTGGGGATGTGACTCAATGAATGGGTAAGCGCTCCTGTGTTCAGTCTCCTCTACAAGGGGGAAAAAAGTGATGGAGGGTGCTTTCTCTCTTAGGATCTTTTACGGGGTCACACATCCCTTGTCCTTTGTCATCTGAAAACTGGGGTACGTGGTCATCTTCAATGGAGTGCTGCACTTCCAGACCATGACTCTTTCTTTGCCTCTTCTTCAAGAGCTAGACCCTGGACGGGTCCTGGGGGTGATGTGCTTGATTGGGATAAGTACCCCAAAGGAGAGAAGACTCCAGTGCTTTCTCTGTAATAGAAAAATTATACTTTGCAGATATATGCCATRTGAAGTTGCTTCCTTATGAATGAATTAGAAAAGTCAGGACCCTTTTTTTTTTGCAGCCTATAGAAATTATGCAGTTCCACCAGCAGGAAAGCAGCTCGATACAGCAGAGATGGTGTGGGATGTGTGCAGAAGCAAGTTAGACTTTAGTCACTGGATTCTCTGACCTTCTGTTTCTTCATGTGTAAGTGAGAGTAAATGTATCTAATGCACACAATTATTGGAAAACTCAAATGAAATAGTGCACTGAGGAGTTTCTGGTGTGAGAGATCTTCAGCAAAGGTGCTTCCTCCCTCCTGCCTTGACCCTCACAGCTCCATTCTGAGTTTTCTTTACCAGATGATTTGTGCTTCTAGACTCCTACTACTTCCACCCGCCCCCACCACACAGGGCTGCCTGTTAAGCTGTAGGATACCAGTTGCACTGAACTTCAGATAAAACAGAGTTTTGTGTCATAAATCTGTTCCAAATGTTGTGTGGGCATCTTTATACTAAACAATCATTACGGTTTGTCTGAAATCTAACTTTAATGGGGTATCCTGTTTGTTTGAGTTTCCCTAAATCTGGCAGCCCTACCCCTCTCCAAGTTTTAAAACCTTCCCTTTTTAGCAGGAGCAAGGGATCTGGCTTTCCTACAAGATCCTTGAGTGAGCAGGAACAAAGGGTGCGGAAGTGAAGCTGGTGAGGGAAAACAGGGCCAGAGAATGAAGGGCAGGAGGCAGCCCTCAGAGTCTCAATGAGGCCAGGCCTGAGCTGCCTGGCCTGCAGGAGCCAGGAGCCAACTGGCCCAGGTCACTGGGGAGACCTCTGGGGTCAAGAGGGCTGGCATGGCTTAGCTTCAGGGTCACAGAATTCCTAGTGACCCTGGAGAGGGGGAGAGAGGAGGAGCCTGGGTTTTTGTCACTCTGTCCTGGAGCTGGCCAGAGGAGCTTCTGAGTGGCAGCTTTGATGAGGGGTGTTGGCTTTGAGGGGTGGCTTTTTGTGTGTGGGGTGGCTTCCGGTTGCTTTCTCCTGGCTCTGCATGCCTGCTGTGCACTGGAGTGAGCCCAGACCCTCACAGAGGGAGCAGCAGGCTAATCCTGTCAGCTGCTGCAAATACGCCACCAGGCAGGAATTTGCTTTTGTGTCARGTATTTTAATAGTGTCCACTCTTTCATCTCTTAGGCCACATGGTTTTTAAATTGACAGTGCTATACCAGCCTAGCTTCCTTTCAGAAGCTTGGAATGAAAATGTTCATCCAGCTTCCACAGCTGCCTTATCCCACTCAGAAGTATAGGGGAGAAGGGAGGAAGGATGTGGACTGGCACCCACTGCTGCCTCTCCATCACTGTGTGACCTTGAACAAGTCTTTGACCTCTCTGAACATTAGTTTCTTTAGTTGAAAATGGAAATTAAAGCACCG